GCTAAACTTGGCATCGCGAAGTAAAATAACACAAGAAAAAAAATCTGAATGTATTTCGAGAATGCTTATGCAGAATTGTGCATTAAAAGTCATACCGCGGTCTCGGATATTCTTTTCTGTTCTTCTCAAACATGCTGACATAACGTGAATAAAATCCGTGAATCGAGAAGAAGTCTCTTAGGATCGCTATTGTCCGAAGGGAAGGACTAACGCGTGAGCGAGTTGCCGCGAAAAGGGATAAAAAAATGGGTCGTTCTCCTGCATAATTTATAAAGAGAACTTCGTAAAGGGTGTGCACAACGACAAAATTGCTAAGTATGCAAAAGCCAGGAACGTCCACCTGTCCGTTTCGCGATCGCTCCGAAAGTTTGCCCGCTCGGTCCGGTGCTATCGCGTCATCGTTTCACTCGTTAAAGCAGCAATTTTCAGTAAAATTTTTTTCGTACCCCTCCTTTCACCATCGCCGCCGGTTTAGAGTCGAAAAAAGCGGGACAATCGACATTCCGCGAATGAAAACAATCACGTCATTGTCTTCGCGGAACGCGTTTCTTTTTGCGTTTCTATATTAATGAGTGGTTCGTATATTACGTTGAATTTTTTAGGCTTTCCATAAAATTTTTCATGAGAGATTTCCAACCCGATTAAAACTACGGGGCTTTTATGAATTAAGTATTCGTTGCGTCGGCTAAACTAAAAACAAATATATATGACGTCGATTGCCGCGTGTTCGCAATTTATTGAATTCCGTGAGTATCTCTTTTTAGCACCGTGATTTGACTATTCAATTTATAAATTATTAAGTAAAATTTCATAGAAGCGGTCTAACTTTTCTGGAATATTAATTTGTAAAATGTGACAGAAAGAATTAAGCAATAACTAAATATTTATAATAAAATATCTATAATTTGAATTTTAAGTAAATCAAGAGTTGCTCTTTCTAATAATATTATTGCATATTTGAAGTGAAATATTGTAAAGTGATGTGCGCTCAAATTATATATTTTAAACACACAAGACTTTTAGCGCAGATTTTATTTTCACAAAATTTTTCTAATCAGATTGCAATTTGCGTCGTAATTAAAACTGTTTTTGTGAGAGAGAATATGTGTGTGCCTGTTTTTATTTAAAAATATTTTTTAAGAATCATTAATAGCGTGTAAACTTAGTAAAAAACTTGAGCATGCAGTTGAAGCACTCATTTCTGAAAAAGTTCGCTTGTAGTTAATCCGATGTTATTTTTGATGCGTTCAGAGCCTCGAGTCGTTAAAACTAAACATTTTCCGAAAATGGAATAAAACCCTTTGAAATATCCTAGAAATGACCGCAGATCGCTGTAATTTTAATCAAACGACTTTGACTTTGATGATATACGCGTGCTCAGAGGTAGCAAAAAAGATTGAAAGGAATCGCACAAAGAGAATTGAAAAATCGCGATGTTTGTTCGCAAGTTCTCTCCCGCAACCGCATGTTAAATTAACGAAAAAATGATACACTGTGGATAGGACTGACGTCATACAATGGAAGTCACTTTATATCAAACAATATCTTAATCCTTATAATACTAATTGTAAAAGAAGAACAATGCAAAATATGTGTCTCTAGATTTTTAAAATTATTCTTTCCCTTTTGCTTCATCAACGGCTGCTTTAAAGCCATTTCATCACAAAAATTTTAGAATTGAATTGATTTTTCTTCGGAGATAAAAGCGAGATAGATCAACAATTAAATATCCACCATTTATATAAAGAAACTTTGTATAGAACAAAACTTTCTACGTCTTCTATATGTTTTCATAATCAATAAACTAATAGTAAGTGTGGTTTTCGCATGATATTGAAGCTGCTTATCAATGCGTATCAAAGCTTTCATACACACACACACATACATGAAGGGTTTGTTCAAGAAAGTTTACTTTAAGTTCTGCTTGTGAAATCCGCGCACTACTTAAACCTCGAGTTGCGTTTTGCTTATGTTTGAAGAGC